GATAGCCGAGTAAACGCAAGGCTTGCAAGCTAGCCGATGCCAGCAGGAAAGGTAGGTGTGCGAAGTATCCTGCGTTTGGAAGCCACAAGGACAGCAGCGCGGGGCTGGCACAGTCTGTGCTGGCTGGCCCTGGTGCAACTATAGGGGTATAGGGCTGGTACCCGTGCAGGCTAGTGAGAGAGGTGGTTGGCAGAATAAATGCGGGGCTGGCACAGCGAGCTGTCCCAAAGTAATGCGATCCTTTGGCTGCTACCCTTGCTTGGGTAAGAGCGAACTCCAACCCAGGCCCCACCACATTAGCACCGTCCCAATGCCCAACACCATCCCCCGTGCCCCTGTCTGCGAACGTCACGGAGCACGTGTTGTCAGAAGGAGCTGCAGGTGGGAAGGTAAAATAAGAGAGGTAGGCTGTTCGCTGCACGCTGGCATAAGCGGCTGGCAGACATGGTGTGGGGCAGGCACCAGAAGCGCAGCTGCCCCACTGTAATGCCAACTCGGGGGGTGCTACCCTTGCCAGAACGTATGTTGTGGTAGCTACACGGACAGCAGTGCGGGGCTGGCACGGCCTGTGATGGCTGGCCCAGGTGCAACTCTAGGACTGCTACCCGTACACGCTAGTGAGAGAGGTGGCTGGCTGAACCTCCTCCTCCCTTTCCTCCTCGGCCTCCGCCTCCCCCCATCATCATCAGCAGCAGCATCACCATCGTCTCTGTCGTCGCCGTCATCATCATCGCCATCATAATCACCATCACCCCCCATGATCTTCCCCATCATCACCATGGTCCTGGGACTCTGGGGCCGTCACCCGGTTGCTCCGGGGGGGGACAACAACAAAAAAAAACTTCACCCCACTATAGTTCCAAACTCGGTGGTAGCATCAGCAACCCTGGCGGTCTTCACGGGGAACTCAAGGCTCCGAACGCTGGGGATGGGGGCCCACAGGCGATTCGTGGCGCCTCGTTGGTGGGGAACCCGAGGGCCACGACGCACCACCGATCTGAGACTGCCTTCATTCACCAGACTGGAACTCGATTGTGGAGGAGGGAGAGGGGGAGCAGGCGCCAGGGGAAGGCGTGCGAAAGGGGAGAAGTTCTGAACTTCTGACAACCCTGAATTACGAATTCGACACAAGATCTGTTCACCGACTGCGGCCGACGGCGTCGAGACCGCCTAGAAGTCTGAGCCACCGCGAAACGTGAGGTTGGACTCATCTGACGTGCGAGAGCTCATAGTGCAGACCCGCAGCTACAGCCCACAAGACTGTGGATCAAAAAAGAAAGGGCGCCCAGGACGAGCCCCAGGTTGAACGAGCTCGCCGCCAGGTGAACTTTCTGCGACTCAATCCAAAAATCCACTTCCGTATTGTACGCCGTGTGCAACATCTGTTGACTGTGCCGCCGTTCGTGACGCAGCTTCTAGGGACACCAACGTGCCAGTAGACGCGTCGGTAGACAGGGCTGGGCGTGTCGCCTGCGACTCCCCCACAACAAATGTCGTGTAGAAGGCGTGCCGTTTTCGAGAACACTGGTGGCTTCCACCCGCTAGCATCACGCACATTCGACGTACCCGCTACCGTGCCGCGAGGCAGAAGTAGACTGTTCCCGTGTCCCTTCGAACTCTCTGGAGTGAAGACTGCAAACCTCTAACGTAAAGGGCACGAGGCCCACGATTTACAGAATTACTGGGAGATCGTAAGCATTCCTTGGTGTTGCTGTTCTCGGGTCGCGACTTCTCTCGAGGCCTTGGGAGCGCGGTTGGGGGTCGGCACTTCCCACGTGTCCTAAGGTGGTCCAGTGGGACCGTGCTGGGGCTCTCGTTGGTGCTTCTCGTGCCGTCTTGGAGGCCCTGCGGACCAGCCAAAAGCATCGAACAGTCTCAGGTTGTTGCACTAGTGTCGCATACTCGCCTTTCGGTCTTAAGAGTGCCGACGACGGCTCAGGAGGCCCCCATGAGGAGGTATACATTGGAAGGGACCTCTCAAGCTTTAGTCAGGCCTGCGCATTGTCCATAAGAGCAAGAATTCAGCTGAACACAGGAGGGTGTGCAGGCAGCTACGTAGCTCGGACATGCAGAAGCAAGGTGCGGACGACGCTGCAAAGCCCTAGGAGAGCAGAGCATTGACAGCGCGAGCATTGACAGCGAGAGGCTGCTGGAGCCCATCGACCCCAAGATGGCCCCCGAGACCCCCGAGATGCCCCTGGGAAGCCTCCAAGAGGCTTCCAGACGGCCCCCCAGAAGCCGCAAAGACGGCTCGAATAGGCCCCAAGAGGACTGCCAGGAGACCTCAAGAGGCCTGCCAGGAGAACCCAAGAGACCCCAAAAGGCCCCCAGGATGCCTCCAGGAATCAGGAAGCCTCCAAGAGGTTTCCAGACGGCCCCCGAGAAGCCGCAGAGACGGCTCGAATAGGCCCCCAGAGGCCTGCCAAGAGACCCCAAGAGGCCTCCAAGAAGATGCTATACTGTCCACGCCCTGGCGTGATGGCGGGATGGTCCGACGGAAACTGCAGAAGTCTCGACATGCTACACGTATGGGCGAGTAAACCATGTTCTTGCTAGTAAGGCCTTCGCTTTGGCAGCGCACACAGTCAACTCAAAGCCTTGCAACATAAACATTGACAACATATCGTGTTCGACCTGCGGCTGTCGCAAAAGATTTCCTCACACTGTATAAACCAAAACTTGAAAACGCACAACTCCAAGGATGGAGGGAAACTGGTGTTTCAACACAAAGCTCTCGCTTGAAGCATCCTCGAATGGTGCGGCCAGGCATTTGAGAATGACAAGCAGCTGCACTGGTGGAGAGCGGTTCCTTTTCGAAATAAGGTTCCCGCTTGAGGCATGATTAAGCTGTGCGGCCCAATATCTTGAGATGCACCATAACTATAAGGATTGAGGGCGGTTCAATGTTCCAAACGGGACTCCCACCTTGACTGGCGGGCCTATGGGTCGCTCCTCTTTCACTGGGCGCTCCCCGTAGTGAAAAGGCACCGCCGCTGCCCTCCGCCCGTCCTCCCCCGACCCGCCTTCCTGTTCGATTGGAAGATCGAATGCATAATTGCTTTACCCCAAAATGGTCTTGCCCCTCGAGTCTACAACACATCTGTCACATTTTCGTAGATCTGCAAACATTATACCCATGTGTTCGTGGATTCTACGAAAGAAGCAAGTATGGGGCAAATCAATTTTGCAGTCGATCTCCTACTCGACCTGTGGGCAGTGCCTCCACTGAACTCAAGTTGCCAGTCATCATGCGCATGTGGTGCTCCAGCATGATATCCACTGGGATGTCATCGTCGGGCATGACCTGTCAGCACGGTGAGGCCTGCGAGGCAGGAGATCAGAACTCCCTCCTAGAAGCAGAACGGAGGAAGGCAACGAGGATGGGGGAAGAAAAGAATTGATGATCCGGAAGACGTGTGTATGTGTGTGTGTGTGTTCCCCCAGCCTAGCTTTTAGCGGAAGAGGTTCGCTCTCGCCCCGCAGATCAAAAGTGTGTGTTCCCCCAGCTGCTGCCTCGCAGCCGCCGCTGGCCCCCCGCCCCGGCGCCCACCCCGCTGCGGCCTGGCCCTGCTCTGAGCGGGCCCAGCTTCCTCTCCCTCCCGCCCGCGCCGGGCCTCCTCTCTCCTCCCGCGTGCCCTGCGGCTTAATTCGCGTTTTGTGTGACCCACTAATGCCACATCGCCGGAGCAGTCCCTCTGCCCAGCCGCCGACGCAAAAAGTATGTGTGTTGAGGCTGACATGCGTTTGTCCGAAGGAGCCCTTCGGTAAGTAGAGTGCGGTGTGTTCAGCGCCGCCATGGGCTCCAACATTCTCGTGGTGTCGCCCTCCTGGTAAAGGAATTACATTAATTTTGATTTTGCTCGTAGGATCTTCAACGTGCTTCCATTCCAGAGAATACAAAGGTAAACCGCGTTTGATGGGTTGCTTGATGGGTTTTATCGAAGATTCGAAATCGATGTTGGGACCTGGACCCCTCATGGAAGGGGAGGCGGGGGGAGACAGGAGGGCAAAACGACTTCGAATCGGGATGCCGACCCGCTCAGGGGGGCGCTCACAAAGAATTCCTGCCGTCGTGCCCTGGAAAAACAGCGGGCGCACCATGTGAATGCGAGTGCCACGAATGCATATGCTGGTGTGTGTGTTCCCACAGGACCATCAGAGGTGAGCGAGAGGGGCAGAAGGGGGAGAGATCGGCAGACAAATCGCTCGGAGATTGTCCGGAAAAAAACACCGAGGCCGCTCTCGGCTCCCTCGCTCCGCCAGCCCGAAGCCGGACCATCGTTGCCAGCAGCGCCCTCGACTTCTCAGGCCTCCGGACCTTGGGCTTCAGCATGCTCATGCCAGCTGAAGGTTGCTATTGCACTCGACGAGAGAGGCGAGGCCCAGACGGAGGACAGGCAGCGGGCGCGCCATCCTCCTCGTGTTGCCCCTCCTTCTGTTTCACCTCCTCCTCCTCCTCCTCCTCCTCCTCCTCCTCCTCCTCCTCCTCCTCCTCCTCGTCACCATCAAAATTTTCAGCCTGTCCCTCCTGCTCCTTTTCTACGTCCTCGTCCTCCCCCTCCTTACCTCGTCCTCGTCCGCGAAGGAGTTACTCTCCAGGAAAAAGGCTGCTCCCCAGGAAAAGGGATGGTTCTCCGGGTGGACTTCTGGATCCTATGGGCTTCTCAAGATTTGGGGGAAAGGTTTGCTTCTCCAGGTGAGACCCGATCAGGGATCCTCAGCGTTCATTCTCAATGTCACAAACCAAAGTGCGCCCCTCTAAGGCGCCGCTTGGAATTTCGGGTGTCTAGCCTCGTTCGCCCGGAGAACCATCTCTTTATGGAAATATCTGAATGTGTGGATGGAGCCATGTACGACGCTGCCTACGGTACTTCCAATCCCGCGCTAAACGCCCGCTCGGCCCGAGGTTGAGAAAACTGCACAGCGCTTACCTGCACTGACGTTCGATCGTTTGTGATAACTTGAGTTGCAGATGCAGTGGTGCTTCTCGTGCGGGTGCTTGCTTAATTAATTGTTCCAGCCCTCACACTTTAGGTTGCTAGCGGTTACTGTGCTGAAGCTGGCTCGTGCCAAATGCAAGCAGAACACTCGAGCTGCTGAGTTATCTGAATGAAGAACGGTAGCAGCATGCCCACATGCCGCTGTGCAGGCGGCATTTGCAATGGCTGACCCAGATGAAGCAGCAACAGCTAGCGCCATTCGGGCGGGTGCATTCTGAAGAGCACCTACATAAACTGCTCTGGCCATCGGCAAAGGTGCGCCCTGAACAAGGGTGGCCAGCAGTCGGTTCGCGCCGACGTGTCTCCTCGCGGCGGATGGCTCTCACGGGCGGCCTCCCTCGCGGCGCTGACGGAGCAGCCCCACCCGACGCCGGATCCATCCGTCCCCCTTCTGAGCACGGCCTTGGCCTCACCGCGCGCCTAGTCGATCACAGCGCGGTCTGCCGCGAGAAAGGCACCCTTCGCAACGCGGAACTGATCGGGAACATTCACTTCGACCTCAGTGCCATCCGTGGCCTTGGAAACCTGACGTTGCCGGTGGCCGGGCCGAAGATTGGCTTGACCCTGTGGTCGAGGCGAAGATCGGCAGTCGTGCCCTTCTGGTCCGTCGCCAGGCAGTGGTTGCACCAGATTTCCCATGGCTCGGACTTCGCTGCCGCGCCGCCAGCGTTGATAGCGATCATCCGCCCCGTTGTGACATCGTCTGCTGACCCGTCAGCTGGCAGCTCCGCGGCACCGATGAACTCGTCTGGCGCGTTCGCTGCCTTGGCGACGGCATAGACCGTCAGGTAAGCAGAGCGAACGTCTGCAATCTCCAAGTAGCTCTTGATGGATGGCATGACCATCTCGATGTTCGAACGCTGAGTCTGCGGTTCCAGGCTGTCCTGCTGCAGGATCTTCGCCGCAGGGACTCGCGTTCTGGCGGATGACACGAGGGCTCGCAACCACACCAGCCATTGCAGCCTCCGCTAGCACGCGAATGTTGGCCGGAACCAACGACCACACGAAAGGAGACTTCATGCGAGGCACCTCCACCGCGGCCGCATTCGCACCTGAACACCCGGCGGGGAAGATGATCGAGGCCCTCTTCGCGATGTTTGCCTGAACGCTCATATCCGGAAAGCGCGCGTCGGGCGAGGTCAAAGCGCTGCATGGGGCAACCACCGTGGCATCGAGTGGACGCGACCATCGCCATCGCGGTCCCTTGGCATATGTGCCCCGCAAATATCCCTAGCGTCACGCGCGACCTTGTCCGCAGCCAGATGGCCCCTCAGGCCCCCCAAACGAAGGCCCCGAAGGAGCCCAAAAATGACCCCAATATGGCTCACAGAAACTCCTCGGGGTTTAATATCAAAACTGTCGGCCCCCTTGCTTCACGACGTGCATACATACGCCCCTCCTCGAAACGACTCCCCTGGGCATCATTTCTGGATGGGCTAGTGGGGATACTTTTTGGTCGCGGCCGCAAGCGAAGGCGCAGGCGGCGTCAGAAGTCGTCCTGGGCTACGGGCGAAACCGAATTATCCAGCGAGCGCACCCACGGCTGCCACAGCTGCCGCCGAGGGACGCTGGGCTACGAAGGGGGCTGAAGGCGGGTTGCAGGAGCTGCCAGGTGTGCCAGGCGGCCGAAGTGCAACCATCCCAGAGGCGAGACCACCAGACGACGAACGAATTGTACCTTGTCGCGCCAGGGGCCAGAGGTAGCCGTGTCACCGAACGCGGCAAAGCGCGGGACTGCGCAGGTACAGCGTACCTGTGTCGCATGCCGACAGTAAGAACCTCAGATGGCTGAACAAGAAGGCTAAACCACTCGTGAGCACTCCACGTACGGGCAAAACCCACCATTGCAAGCGGGCAAGTGGGGATGCTCGCGAGGCGGGTCGAAAACCGTCCGAACACTAGTCGGGCCGCGACTAGGCAGCAGGAAAAGAAAGGCAAGCGAAGCGAGCGAGCGGGCAGCCACTCAGAAGGTAGGCCAGAACCGAGCTAGTGGGGATACGCGAAGCAGCAAAACTAGGCGGCGACCATGGGGGGAAATAAAGAGGGGCGGGCCTGTTCAAAAGGCTCGGAAGGCCTCCCGCCTTCTGGGAGTTCGTTTAACCCTTCCCCGAAAACACAGAAAACTTCTGGCGCGAGGGCTTCTGAGAACCTCGCCACCTTCTGAGAAGGCCTTCTCCTTCTCGATGCCTCCCCAGGCTCTTCTCCTTCCCTCCTTCCGCGCACTTCCTAGGCAGAAGCTGGTGTCGAAGGCGTGACCGCTCCATGATGAGCCTCGTGCACCGAGCACTGCGCTTCCTGCTCTCCGAGCGTCTGTTTCACTTCCTTGCCAAGTGACGGGCCAAGTGAAAGGTCGGGGAGCTGGCCTCACCATCTCAACCTCATCGCTGAACAAAAAAACATGCGAGCGCCCGCAGTCCTGCTTCGGAGCCCAGGAGGGCGAAGAGGGAAAGGCGCATCGCAAACACCATCACAAGGAATCCGGAAACGAATAAACCAAATCGGTACCTCCCCTCATGAATAAAGGAAAGACACCCAGCAAAGCGGACAGCCTTCATACCGCGCTGATCACGATCGCTGCTGAGGGACGACGACAAGGAGGCTGGCCGTCCGCCCGTCTCGGAACCTGAGCCTTGGACCGTATCACGCCCAGCTTTCGAAGTGCCAATCGCATACCGATTCCGCTCCACGGGACCAAGAACGACCGAATTACCCCCCGAGCCCCCCGCCCCGCATGCAGGGGCTACGAGCAACTGCATCCACCCTTCGACCCTTCCCCACACACGCGCACGAGGGCCACGAAAGACCACCAGCCCACATGACCAAGAGCGGCCCCATCGACACTCCTCCGAGGGGGCCGCGAGGAGCCACGGGGCCACTGAGGCCACGAGCGGCCTGATCAACCCGTGCGCCCCGCCCAACTGACCAGGGCCACGAGGGCCACGGGGCCATGAGCGCCCGAATCAAACCCCGAGCCGACCAAACACATGGTCGCGAGGCCACGGCCAACAGAGCCGACCCTCAAGGTTCAAGTGTGATCCTCTTTCCTGCTCGAGCACGCACCGTACGAACACTCATGCACCCGCAGTCACACAAGCGGCACTAGAGTATCGTGAAATGGCGCGAGGCTCGCCCCAATCCGCCTGCCTCCAAGACACTCACGTCTCGCGGGGGGGGGGCTTTGATGGAGCTAGATTCACATGTATTATTACACGAAACTATGGATCTAGACTCAAATATCTCATGAGAGTAAATTAACGCACATACATGCACCCAACTCTTGCACGGGAGAGGAGAACCTTCCCTTTCGTTCGCTTCTATACAACCAAACCCCGTGCACGACCAAAGAAAAAATATAATGAGATATGGCAACAACTGCTTTGGCATTGACAACCTCTCAAGCCCTGCACCCTTTTGCGGATGGACCTTATCCATGAACGGCCGTATATGCTATGTGACACTTTCACCCCGAAACCAGACCCAGACCCTGTAATCAAGTGTTGCCGACAAGACATTCTCAATAGATGCACCTGGTTCCAAAGTGCCAGCAACATCGCTGTGCTCGACGTCCGCACGACCCCTATGATTTGAATGTAGTTCGCCCTTTCAATACATTGACACGGTGTTGCATTGGAATTGATAATAACACCGTCCACGATATTGTCGTCCAAGCAAGCGAATCCGTGTCCAAACGAAGAAGGTCGAGGAAAGTAGCCAAAACAACATGTAAAAGACAAATGCAAAAACGCCATTCAAGAACTGTGCTCTAGAATGTACAAATGGCCCCCTGATAAAACCACTCAGAGAAACTGCCCCGGAACCCTCACAAACACTCACGAAGTACAGTTTGGTTTCACTTTGCATGTGGACCCACAGCATATTCCCCTACAGTCGGGCTTGATTGGACAGGACACACGAGAGGACACAAGACCCTTCCGAGGGCCGCATCGCCATAGGAGTGTAACAAGGCACGTGTCGCGAGGCACAGGACACAAGGGTACCCTTGAGCTGGCAAGGTCGACCTACTAATCCAGGCCGACTGTAGCTAGCCTGGCAAATACGACAGAAAGCGAGAACGACAAAACGATTGACAACTGTCGCAACGCTTCCCTCACCCACCCTGCCAAGTGGAAGCGCGGCGATGCTGCGCGAGCTACGCACCAGGTTGAGCCATTGCGGCCACCGAAGACAGATGATGATGAACTCATAAACATGAATCCAATCCACACCACGCTTTGCAAAAGGTCACTTGCGAACTGCTTGTGCATTGCTGCACTCGAAACCCCTCCTGTCTGCTGCACACGTAAGCGCTGATACGTCCACAACGAAACGTCTATGAATCACCCGACTACCCGACTGCATTTCCCAAACTTCGCCAGCCCAACAAGCCAACCGCGTGACATACAGTACGACTAGGCCGGCCAGACTGCGTAATGGGTATGATGCGTACGACTTCGCGCGCGCGAAAAACGGCTCTCAGGGGTGCCGTCAGAAAAGCTGGCACAGTAGAGGACCAGAAGCGGGGCAAACGTGTCATCCCCTGCTGAAGAAGTCGCGAGATGGCCGACATGTCTCCTCCAAGTCTCAGTATCCGCCACCGTGCCCCCTGGCACGTTGCGGCGTGGCAGAAAGCCAAGAGTATCTGGAGGGTTTCTGCTATCTTCTACGGACCCCCTCCCCTTCCAGTCGCAGCGTTGCGTGCCCCGCCTCCCCTCCCGAGGCCACGATCCCCCATAAAAAACAACGGGCCCGCACTCCCGAAATTACGATCGTCAGTAAAATAAAATTGTGGGTCCGTGCTCCCATGCTTCCAAGACGACCGAGGCACGCAACGAAGACCGCCAAGACGCTCCAATATGCCGCCAAGACAGCTCAAGCCTCAAAACAGCCCAAGATACCTCGAACACGGCCCAAGAAGGCCAGAAGGGCCCAAACAGTGTTCGAAGAAACCAAAACTATATATCCTCATCGCTGTGGAGGCACATTCGCATTCTCGATCTTTCGGGCTTCCGTCAGCTCAAGACGGCCCACGAAGCCTGCAAGATGGCCCAAGACGGCCCAACATCCCCCAAAGCGAGTCCCAAGACGGCAAAAGAAGACCCCATGATGGCCCAAGAGGCCATCCATACGGCTCCAAGATGAAAGGGAAAGTATCCGGAGAGATCCAAGATGGCCTTGAAAGATCTTTGGACGGTCCAAGACGACCCCACGACTGCCCCAACTCACCTTCCACATGGCCAAGGGAGCCCCAAGACTGTCCCACAGGAGCCCGAGACAGCCTCAAGATGGCCAAAATGAACTCCAGCATAGCTCCTCAACACATGAAGACGCAGAGTGTCACATGCGACGGCCTTCCTGTCTTGCATCCTCTTGCTCCTGCTCCTGCTCCTGCTCCTCCTCCTCCTCCTGCTCCTCCCCCTCCTCCCCCCCCCTCCTCCTCCTCCTCCTCCTCCTCCTCCTCCTCCTCCTCCTCCTCCTCCTCCTCTTCCTCCTCTCCTCTTCCTCCTCCCTCCTTCCCCCGCTGGTCGCACCGCAGGCGCAAACCGGTCCCCTCCTCCTCCTCCTCCTCCTCCTCCTCCTCCTCCTCCTCCTCCTCCTCCTCCTCCTCCTGCTCCTCCTCCTCATCCTCATCCTCATCATCATCATCAACTCATCATCATCCTCTCATCATCACCATCATCATGATCATCATCATCATCATCATCATCATCAACATCATCATCACCGTCATCATCATCATCATTTTCCTCCTCCTCCTCCTCCTCCTTCCCCCTCCTCCTCCCTCCTCCTCCTCTCCTCCTCCTCCTCGTCCTCTTCCTCATCCCCGTCCTCCATTCCTCCTCCTCCTCCTCTCCTCCTGCTCTCCCCCTCCCCTCCACCTCCCCCTTCTCCTCGTCCTCCTCCTCCTGTGATTATAGTGTGTACTTTTCTTTTTCCTCCTCCTCCCCCTGTTCCTCCTCCTCCTCCTTCCTCCTCCTCCTCCTCATCCTCCTCCTCATAGTCCTCCTCCTCCTTTCCTTTCCCTCCCTTTCCTTTCGCACCCCTGCTAAGCGCGTTGCTTTGGCGTTACAGCTGCTACACTACACACTTCCCTTCTGCCCCGCCGCCCAGACTCACAACTCCCCGCCTGGCAACAGTTCTTTGGACATCATCTTCAGCGCGTGGAGATCGCCGCCACAGAAAAGCCGGACAGCATTGCATAAAGTATAATATTGAATGTCTGGTTTCAGCACGCCTTGGATCAGAACAACTCCAACCAAGAGCGGTGCCAACTCTGCCTGGCAAGCGCTCGCCACCGTCAAGGGCACCGTCGCCTCAACGATCAGGCCGTAACCTGGCTGCCCTCCTCCTCCTCCTCGTCCTCCTTCCCCTTCTCCTCCTCCTCCTCCTCCTCCTCCTCTTCCTCCCCCTCCTCCTCCCCTCCCTCCGCCTCCTCCTTCCTCCTCCCCCTGTTCCTCCTCCTCCTCCTTCTTCCCCTCTTTCTCCTCCTCCTCCTCCTCGTCCTCCTCCTCCTCCTCCTCTTCTTCCTCCTCCTCCTCCTCCAAGTCCTCCACTTCCTGCTCCTCATCTCCCTCCTTCTCCTCCTCATCCTCCTCGTCCTCGTCGTCGTCCTCCTCGCCCACTTCTTCCGCCTCCTCCTCCTCCTCCTCCCCCTCCGCCTCCTCCTCCTCTTCCTCCTCGTCCTCCTCCTCGTCATCATCCTATGGATCCTTCTCGTCCGCATCACGGTTGCCCCAACCGGGAGCCGGCGGTAAACCGTCAACCTTGGTTTTTGCGGTTAGCGGTCAGACCAGGCAGCGGCCGTCAGGGCCGCAGGTCGGGTTACCACAACAGGCAGAGACATGCCAAAAGCACGAACTCTTTCAGTCCAGAAAGCAGGCTGGCAGAGACATGCCAAACGCACGTACTCGAGAAGGCTAGCAAAGGCATGCCAAACGCACGAACTCTTGCAGGCCAGAGAGTAGGCGACAGGCAGCTCTGATCTCGGCTTGCGTGACAGCGCAGCTGGGTGGGAGGAGGAAGGCGTCAGCCATAACATTGTTAATCCAGATCGGTGCGCGAACATTGCCAATCTGAGCAGGAGAGGGAGTGAGCGAGGGGGGGATAAAATAAGCGCGCACGTCGAGAAGCCGACCACATCCAACTCCCATTTCGGACCGCCCCCGGTCGAATGCACCACGAAGAGCCTCAATTTTGATGTTGTTATTACGGATTTCCTGAATGATGTCATGTTTGCATCGCCGTCCCGTGTTCCCCCTTCGCGCTTCCCAAGTCAACTCGTCCGCCCTCTCATTCCCTTCACGGTACACCCATTTGATAATGTTGCGCCCAGCATTCGGTGGTCTCATGTTGGCAATAGTGGCAAGCTCATACAACTCATTTGGCGCCTCATGCAAGGTGCTAGAATAGACGAGGTTCGAAGTCTGCCACACTCCTAGAAGCCAATTGATTACCACCTGCGAGTCACCAG